AATCATTTCATATTCCATTTAAGATGTGCAATTACATGTAACTCAATCAAACTGATAGATTCTCTTAATCTCTACTATTTCAAAACTGACTGAAAACTGTAACAAACTTTTTCTTCTTTCGTCTTCCTCATGTCTAACAAGCGCTTCCTTAATCTGCATCATTTCGACAACCATCATCACCATGATCTCTCTAACTCTCTCATAAAGCCCCTTTTAAGTACTGACTTGCAATTTAATGAAATGGATTTATTGGCGGCCAGGGTAGACAACGATTGCAAACGAGGAATCGCCGCATTGGCATTCATGTCACGTTTAGAAGACGACACGGCGCACGCGACCTCCCAGGCCCGACTCCATCCGTCTCAAATTCTTCCAGGGAAATTCATTTTCCTCGCCTACATGTTTTTTTTTTCTCTCTGCTTCTTTTGCAACACACACAAAGTCCTGATTAGGGTACTACATGTAGTAGTGTATTGTGTGAATTTTTTGGAAGAGATGGAGGCAGAGTTTTCGAACTGCTTGGAGAATGAATGTACATGTATAGATCTACAATGTATGGTAGTGGAGATATGGAATAGGAGAGTAAGGCGTTTAATTGGGCATCTTTGTCTCAGATTCTAATGAAAATCCTGGATTTAGCTCATGCTGCAATGATAATTATAAACCTTCAGGTCAGTCAGGAATCCCATGACTTTTACAAGCCAATGCGTGTCTGATTATCAAGATATTTGTGATTGGAAATCGAAATTTCAAAATTTGTTATCGTAAACTTTTTTATAACACTACAGTCTATTGGGGGAGTACGGTAAAACCGGTCACTCAAAGATTTTTTCTTTATTTAGGCACGTACTTCATGACCATTTTGAAGAGCAATTTTTGTAGGGCTTCAATATCATATCATAGACACTGATATTAACAGGTAGGGCTATGCATCTCATATTTAACGATGCCTTTTAAGTATGGAGAGAAAGAGGGATGTTTTGATAAATTATTTAGGATGAGTTCACAACAGAAAAGAGGACATAAATCCTCAGCTAGGCGCCAGAAGGGTGTTAGCTCTGCGTTTGAACACGTCGGGACCCGTTTCACGAAGCCTTTTTTTCAACGACAAATGACAAATATCAGTGACGAATCTGCTGATTTAACCAATCAGAAGCAAGGATTTCACTAGCTTATTACAAAAACTGTCATTTGTCACCAATAAAATGTTTTCTTAAATGAGCCCCTGTTCTCGCCCTTAATTCTACCTCCAAACAAACAAAGTACAAGGGAGAGAAATACA